AGCAGTGAGGTTAACTCAGTTGTTTTTTTATATAAATAATAAAGTTCACTCAATACTCCTTATATGAACAGTGAAGTTAACTCAGTTGTTTGTTATATAAATAATAAAGTTCACTCAATACTCCTTATATGAGCAGTGAGGTTAACTCAGTTGTTTTATATATGAATTGTAAAGTTCACTCAGTCTGCCTTATTCGAACGGTGATATTTGCTCAATCCTTCTTTATATGCTTATACCCAATCCTTCTTTATATGGTTATACGGGTTCACCCAATCTTTCTTTATATGATTATACCCAATCCTTCTTTATATGATTATACCCAATCCTTCTTTATATGATTATACCCAATCCTTCTTTACATGATTATACCCAATCCTTCTTTACATGATTATACCCAATCCTTCTTTATATGATTATACCTAATCCTTCTTTATATGATTATACGGGTTCACCCAATCCTTCTTTTTACTTAATTTTCAAGATTCTTCTAGATGTGTTTTAATCGTATATTGAACATTAACGTATAATTGTATGTTCTCCCCGGTCTTTGTCAGGTAGTAAATCGTCCAAGACGCTGTTTTTTCTTAGTAAACTAACCGTATCAACTTGCCACACTATGCTGCCAGTCTGGACTGTAGAACAGATGCCTATTGTGTTAAAGGAAAGTGCTCTTGGACTTGGAGAGATCACGGGCCAGTTAGGACTATTGCTTCTACCAACAATAATGTACTTTGTAAGTGATTTTAAACACCTTTCTTCAACTCTGGCTTCTTTCTAGAAATTGTGATTGAAACTTGAGTTAAAGTTTTAGCGAATTTTCCAATTACGAAGTGAATATCTAAATAGCTGCTCAAAATAATAAAATTGAGAAAGCAATGAATATTTTAATTCTTCGCTCCCTTAAAACTTCATATATTATAATGGCATTTCTTTTGTATTATTTGGTGAATTTTTCCTTTTTTCCATATTAGATTAATTAAAACGTAATTGTAACAACACCTACTGATAGTTATCCTAATGCTGACTTATAAGCAGTTTTCATTGGCTGTCGTCGTCCTAGGGACTTTACAGATTTGTTGTAACTACAACTATTTATTGTTAGGACTACTTTTGTCTATGACATCATGACTCCAATCTATCAGATTGCCCCTTCCCCAGTAGCACAGCGGTATGCCTGCGGGCTTACAGCGCTAGAATCCGGTTTTCGAGACTCGTGGTGGGCAGAGCACAGATAGCCCATTGTGTAGCTTTGTGCTTAATTACAAACAAACAAATTTTCAGATTGATTCATCAATGTCTTCTAGTAAATGCAAGCGTTTTCAGACAGTTCTTTGTTATCAGGTCCTAAAAACTAATTTTATTGATCTTATAAACAAAACGAAATTACGTCAACACTTGGTTTTATTCGTTTTTTCAAAAGAAAAAAAAACTCCAAAAGCACTAGTGCATGACACTAAATACTTATTAACCAGAGTTAATTTATATAAAAACAATATGGAACTTGATACCAGCCTCTACCTCTGTCCTTCTTCTTCTTTTTTTTTTTTGTTAGCATATTAATGTAATATTAAATACTCTTATAATTCCTTCCTCATGCTTTTGCTGTTATCGTTTTGTCATTTCTTTCGTAGAACTGAGTTTCTAGTAATACCGTTTAAGATAATCAGAAATAAAAAAGTAAATAATCCTTGATCCTTAGTTCTAGAACGTTCTTTATTCAAAAAATTTGTTACATTGTGTAAAATGTATTTCAGAATAATTATTACCGTATTTTTTACCCCAAAATTTGATGTCAAAATCTGCTTGCGTTCTATACACCGAAGGTATGAATAATGTATATGTATAAATACGATATACACAAGCCATGTGTAAATATATTTAAATAGACATGCATAGTTTAGTTCAATTGAATGTGTTATTTATAACAATAGTAGTTTTTTCGTTTGTGTTTAGAACAATATATACTAATTTTTAAAGTATAAAATTGAATTTTTGTTCAATCAAAATATTTCAAATGCGACTGTAGCTTTTTTTCCCAAAAACATTGTCTTCAAAATAAGGGTGCGTCTTATATTTCGAAAAATACGGTATTTATTATTTTCAGACTTTATTGTCATTGCACGTGAAACCCACAGCTAGAAACTTTTTTTTTTTTTCGTGTAGCTTAATACACTGTACGAATTTTGTTGTCATTAGCGTTGTTTAGTCAGACTAGTTTCTTTTTTGTGTGATTTCTGTGTTTATATTTTACATTTATGGTAAAACTACTAAGGCTGTCTGCCACAGTTCCTAGTTTTGTTAACCTACCACCCATCATCCTTACTAACTGGTTGACTATCACTCCTCTAACAACCTGACTGACCTGGTAGTTGGGGCACTCGACTCGCAATCTATGGGTTGTGGGCTCAAATCTCACCACCGAACATGTTTGCCCTTTCAGCCATGTGGACATTATATTGTTACGGTTAAATCCACTATGAGTTGATAAAGAATAGCGTAACTGTTGGTGTTGGCTGGTGTTCAATAGCTGCCTTACTTCTGGTCTTTTCTAAATTAGGAACGGCTAGCTCAGATAGCCCTCGAATAGCTTTGTGCGAAATTTAACAAACAAACATTTATAACGCACTTATAGCTTAGAGAGTGGGGAATATCTAACCTCTATAAAAGTCAGTGTGTTTTACGTCACGCCATGTTTGATTTCTCGAAATAGGAGGAGTCATAAAAGCCAAAATGCATTTATCCTGATAGAATAGTTCCAATTACTCTCTGCCCATTAGATTTTAGTGACGGAGGTGCAAGGTGGCCATGAGGG